GTTTCCAATCTAGCTAGCAGAGAGGGGAAGTTGGGTGATAGTGCAGGGACCCCAAGGGTAGGAAACTTGATTAAAGCTTGTGATTAAAACTACTGTTTAGCTTCTAATAGCATTTAACCCGTGTTTAATTTAATAGTGTATTCAATTACTGCCCTCTGTATAGCTGCTTGCATCAGTTTCACTGTTTATTACATTTGCCTTTATTTCTTGTATTATACTTACCTTTTGTATTTAATAAATGCAGAGATTCTTTTGCCCTGAAACACCTGTCTACTGCCTTCTTCAATTCACATTGTTAAATAAGTCCAGTGTCAGAACCAGGGATCTGGGGGTGATTCAAACCACCTAAAAAAAAAAATCAGCAATTTACTGATCTCAAACAAGAACCCTATAAGGTAGACATGGCTCATGTCCAATTTAGAAAATGTGGCCTCCAGCTAGCTTTTCAGACAAGTCTTCTGTGCCTGGCATAGGATATCTGTCTAAGTGGGAAACTCTGACTGTCAACTCATCATCCCCAGAGAGACAGACCAAGTTGTCAGGTTTTACAACTGGCCTTACTGGCACGGCCTATTCGGCAAATTGCACTGGACATATGATGCCACGTTCTTCTACATGTTCCAGTTCAGCCTCTGCTTTGGCACATGGGGCATAGAGGATCAGCTGTGCCTTGAAGTGTTTATGTTGGGCATTTGGGTCTGCGTAAATTTTGGCCTTTTATCTTTCCGAGACCCTCTTGGAACACTTTGGGATACTTCCCAATGACATCCTTTAGATTGCCAGTAACCATCTTTAAAGATCTGTTACCAAACCTGGAGATTTTCTGTCGACAATCCTTGCCAAAAAGTTTGGGACCTGGTCCTTGTACCACCATTATGGGAGTCGGACTGGCTCCTGCCCACGTGTGACTGGGGTTACAATGGTCTCAATGATATGTAAGGACTCTTCCAGTGCATTTTGCCAATCTAGCCTTTGACTTAAAGGCAAAATACCCCATTGGCGTTTCCTAAATGTTTACCCCACAGTAATAGACATCTTTGTCGACCTCCAAGTTTAGGGACTGGCCATTCACCTGCAGTTGTATCTTATTTTGGGTCACTTTGGGAGCAGTGATGCAATTTAGCTATATCAATTTCTTGTCTTCTGGCTGATTTATTTGCAAAGCCCTGTCTTGAGGTGGCTTCGCCCTTTGGGGACATTCCTGTTCCTCACTATTATGGAGAAAACTCCCAGTTCGGGAACTTCGTGCCTTCCTTGATAACCAACATGAGCCACTGGTAAATTGGCTCTGTGGCATGGGGCTGTAGCCCAAGCTGAGGATGATATCATCTATGGACCCCTGAAGCTTTTGAGCCCTTTTTTTTCCTTATGGGAAAGGGCCAGTTCTGCGGTTTTCTTGAGATCCAGCTCTGGTAAGGTCAGTAGCTTCCTTTGTGTCACAATATTATTCCGTTCCATAAACTAAGCAATTCCCTAACATTTCCTGAAGTGCTGACCTGTACTCAGTGTCCTACCAATTCTGCAATCGCATGAAGAATTCAGTAACTGGTTCCCCATGAAGTCTATTTGCCATTGTTAAATCTGTAATGCTGCAATATAGTAGATGGCTTTGGGTAATAGTGGTCTGCTGCCATCCCTGTTAGTTCGTCAAAAGATTTTGGCTCTGGGGTTTTGGAGTAGGTTAAACTCGTTATGATACTGAAAGTTGGGGCCTCAGAAGCAGTCAACAGAATGATTTTCAGTCAGTGATATCCTTCTGTCCTGCTTTCCCAAAAAGAAATCTAATTCTTTCAGCATACTGGGGCCAATCTTCCACACCTGAATTTTAAAGTCTTAAGAGTCATACAGCACGGAAACAGACCCTTTGGTCCAACCAGTCCATACCGACCATAATTCCAAACTGAATTAGTTCCACCTGCCTAAGCTTGACCCATATCTCTTCAAACGTTCATTATTCGTGTACTTAAATAACTTTTGAATTGTAACTTTAACTATTGTAACTGTAGCCTTATCCACCACTTCCTCTGGAAGTTCATTCCACATATCAACCACTCTGTGTGTAAATAAAAGTTGCTCCTCATGCCTTTTTTTAAAGTCTTTCTCTACTCATCTTAAAAGTATGACCCCCTAGTCTTGAAATCCCCACTCTAAGGAAAAGACACCTTCTCTATACCCATCATGATTTTATAAACTTCTATCAGGTCACCCCTCAACCTCCTATGCTCCAATGAAAAATATCCAGTCTCTCCTTATAACTCAAACCCTGCATTCCTGGCAACATCCTGGTAAATCTTTTCTGAAAAATCTTTTCTGAACACTCTCCAGCTTAATAATATCCTTCCTATAACAGAGTGACCAGAACTGCACTCCAGAAGAGGCCTCACCAACGTCCTGTACAACCTCAACCTAACTTCCCAACTCCTATACTCAAAGGCCTGAGCAATGAAGGCAAGCCTGCTAAATGCCGCCTTAACCATCCTGTCTGCATGTGATGCAGACTTCAAAGAATTATGTGCCTGAACCCCTAGGTCATATGGTTCCAGTTTCCCAAACAGTGAGATTTCCAATATTACCCTGTCATGGTCTATTCAGATTAATTAGAAAGCAAGGCTGCCCGAAACTTTTCTCTCATCGCTAATATAAAAACTCAGGAAGCCCGACTGTAAAGGAACATCATTTATTGCTAAATACCAAAGTAAGGTCACTACTCGTGGCATACATAAGCTAGTCCCAGCCTGGGATGGACAGTCCTGCTGACCCATCCCGCGTCTGTTTTTTTTCCTTAATCGACCTGTTCAGAGATGCTATTACACACCTTTGGACCAGATGGGACTTAAACTTAGGTCTCTTGGTCCAGGGATAGGGACACTACCACTGCACCGTGAGGGCCTGAGTCTGCTTTATAAAGGGCTCAGGTGATGAGTTCCAACTGGGCAACCATTGCTTTTACCAAGGAAACTCATATTCAGCAAGCTCCATGGGGAAATTAATTAATGATTCCCCATGGGCATTGTAGGGGTTATTACACACACACAAGTGGGGCCCTCTTTTCATTATTTTCCATCTGTTCTCTTTTCACTCATCATATAATCTCAGTTCTTGTGTATTTTTGGCAAAGATTTGGATTTTATGGTAAGCATTGACTTAATGGCACCAGAAGAGTTAGACTTTTCCACAGGGTTTCTGAGGATTTATGCATTGTAATTTATAATTTAAAATTCATTCAAGTACGGCATCCGCTGAAGGTTACCCCTCTCTCTGCTACGGCCAAACCCTCTCCCTTTTGCTCGCCCTCCTATTCCTGCATGTCATGCCTCTCCTGCACATGCTGTGGGTCCCACTCTTAACTCACTTGGCCTCTTCCATCTCTTCCAATCTCATCCCTGTCTTGGTCTGGTGAAAGGTTTCTGTGAAAATGGGGCCACAATATGGTGGAGGCTTCTGTTTGTTTGTCGGAGAAACCACAGGGGTACCCTAAGTGTGTGACCTCTGAAAAAGATTTAATGAGAGTCTGAGTTTGACAGCCCTACAAGAGGAATCAGTAAGTTAGTTATGTACCAAGAACTACGCACAGCATTTTTCTAAAGGCGCTGGATGCAAGTGTTGCTTGGTATAGACTCAAAGCTCTTCCTGCCTGGGAGGGAGAATAAAGTGGACAGCGAAATATAAAATGTTAAGAATAAATTAAATTAAATAAATTAAATACTCTACTTTCAATAATCAGTGGAATATTGGTGATAAATCAAGCACTTGAGACAACAGATACAGCTGTACAGAAGATGTGGCAAAACCCCACAGCATGAAGACATAATTTGACAGTCATTTACGTCAGCTACTTAATGTGGAAAGGCTGTTTGGAATGTCTGTTACTTACTTTGATATGTAACAGGTATTTGTTAAGTTCCAGTATGACATGGAAATATCAAGAGAAAATATCTACATTGTTATTTTGAATTAAGTACACAACCCTCCACAGTAATTACTTCTCTCATTGCACGTACTATTAAACCCAATTGTTATGGAGAAAATAATTTCACAGCACGCATTGTTGCAAATATTTTTAGCCTTGGAATTATCCAGGAAGGAGGCCTCAAAGCAGAAGCAATGAGGAGGAATTTCAATTGAGTATATGCCTCTGCCACACTGTGTTAGTATTTCTTCAATTGTGTATTTCTTGTGGCTTTTCCCTGCTTTAAGTGTGAAATAGAGGAAAACAAATCTTTTTGTTGAGCTTTCTTCTCATGACAAGGCTTCATGTCAAAAAAAACCTGCTTTTAAAAACTCTTCTAACTTTTTTGACACCTCTAACAAATTCCACCACAACAGCTGAGACAATCCTGCAAGAATCAAACAGTCCAAATAAAATAACTCATAACATTCTTAAAAATAAAGTCAGTTCTCCCTATTTTTCAACAATAATGGATTCTTGAAACAAATGCTATCTCTGGATCAGCATCTTTGCCAAAAAGCAATGAGATCATTCCTTGGGCCATATTCTATTTGTACCACATTTTTTTTGAAATCCGTCTATTAGAGTTTGTGGTATATTGTTAGAAAATAGACTGAAGAGCAAAAACATTGCCCCTGTGCAGCAGCAGAGGTATTTGGAATTATTTGTATGTTACTAGTTAAAAAGTGCCCAAACTGTAGATTTCAAGAATGACTGACTAAATTTGTACCTACTTATTAATTCTATGGCCAAACTATTTACTGGTACCCTGTAATTTGTGCCATTTTTGCTCATTATTGCTTCTTCGCCTCGGGTCCACAGTAGCTAGCACAAGTATGCTGTTGTATTTGCCTGTTTACCAAATTTGTGTGCACGCTGTTGCACTTTAACAACATATTTCGAAAGGTTTACGTCAGTTTTCTTATGTTGTGTATCGTAAATATACTTTTAATTGAATTAATTCTTCAGTCAGTTGTTTGACAATGGAAGTCTATTTTAAGCCCAAGAAGAAACATTTAGCATGACTTTTTTCATCTTTTTTTCCCAATAGTTTCAATATTGTGGATTTCTATTTCGTTATGAAGGTTGGCCTTTATGCATCTGTGAAAAAATTGTGATACAACTCTCTGCACTTGATTGGCGAACTTTGCAACCTGGTGATTTCTACCTTCAAGTGGTTCCACACCTGAAGAGAACACCACGTATTGTATTAAAATGCCTTGCAACAGATGGGTACAACATAGAGGAAGTAATTATTCCAGAGGTCACTTATACTTCTATCTTCACTATGGAATGGTTGGACAATATTAACAAGGAACGGATGGGAACAGCTTTGCAAAATTGCCTTTTGTCTGCTGACACCAGTATCTTGAGAGTACCTTGGGAAGAGGTAGTGAATCCAGAATTTGTTGATAAACCAAAAATGATGGAAAGTATGTCATCAAGAAAATGCATTATGGATCAGGAAGTTGTTTGTAACAATCCCAACAATGTACTATTGAATGATTCTAGTGCAGAATCAGGAAGCCATTCTGAAACACCTCAAAATCGAAGCTCAAAAGAAAAAGAATTGAAAACACATCACATGCATCCTAGAATGGTGTTGCATAATTCCCTAAGTAGTATTGCAGATTGTTTAGATGTTTCTGTTAGTTCTGCAGCAATTTCTCCTCATGAATTTGAGGGGGAGTATGTGGAACTTAGTCACATTTCATTAAGTGAAAGTGATTTATTTTCACAAACAAGTGGTTCAGACTTAAGATTACAACATATATTGAAAGCTGACAGGTCATTAGGAGAAATCCCTGTGGATGCCTTGAGTAGTGGTACTTGTTCTAAAGAATCAAACTGTCCAGATTCCATGGTGGCATCTTTAAACTCTCAGTCTAATCTAGGCACAGCGATGAACCCGTTTGACTTGCATGTTAGAAACAATGAGGAAATTCTTGAATATAAATCACTTGCAGATACTATGGCAAACAAAATGCCATTTCATAAGACTTGCACTAGTTGTGAAAATAAAGAGCCTTGTGTGTTTACAAAAGTAGAGCTGTCTTCACCAGTGGAAACTGACCTTCAGCCAGAAGGAATTCAACAGGAGTTCAAGCCTTGCTGTGGAGACATGCATATGTTAATTAAACAGACCACAAATACCACAAAAAACAATTTAAGCAGTGGTGGTTTGCAACCAGTGGTTTGCAACCACACACAGACTTCCACTCAAGATTCACAACATCAAAAATGTCAAAGTTCTTCAGGTGATTCATTGCCCGTGCCACACACTAAACACAAAATTGATGTGAAAGAACACAAAGAAATTGCAGAAAAGAAATTGCAGAAAACTAACCAGAGTCTGCTTGAGGCAGATGCAATGGAAAAGATGCATGGTAAACACACACAAGTTCCAGAGCAAAACAGCACATCAATGGTCTTGATAATTTCTGATAAAGAGTTTTTCAGTCAAGCGACTAACTGTAATTTAGCCAACACTGTTGAATTTGTAAATATTCCTGTTGAGGCATCTCCTAAAAGCTTAGAACAAGAAAAGACAACAAACCAGCTGTCAAAATGTATTGAGAATGCACAATTTAATGGTCAGAATCTTAATCAAACTGTACAGTTTCTTAAAAATGTAACTCAACCAGTAGCAGATGTGCAATTGGATGGGTATAAAATCTCTTCAGTGCACTCTTTAGATTCTGAAGACACTACTGATTCTAATTTATATGAGACTCTTGCACTTGCTGACAATTCAGATCCTCCATTGAAGGACAGCAGAAGGCAATTAGTACTTAAGTCTTCTCAAAAGATTGAAGGACATGTAGATTGTGTCATTCTCCAACTGGCTGTCTCAGGTACTACAGAATTAATAAATGAAGAAATGCAACCTGCAACAAGTGCTGATCATTTACAATCTTATTTAACAACACAGTCTGAGTATTGCAGAAAGCATGGTTTTGAATATATAACACGTTTGGAGAAAGATCATGTATGTTGGACAGACAAAAATATGCAATTGAATGAGTGTTTTGTTAGTAAAGAAAGTACTAGTCAGCACTATCAAGTCAACGCATTACATCAGACGTCTGCACATGTGGATAATACAATTGCAGATCAAATGCAGAGTGAATTCAATAAGCAAAAACAAACTGAAACTAATGATCTGAACATCACAGAAAGTTGCAATCTAATACCTAAAGAAGTAAATCCACTACAAGGCAGTGGAAATCCATTCTTACAAGACATGTCCAATGAGAATGTAGAGCTAGGGAATGGCGAATTTAATATTAAAAAGGAAGACAAGCACCCGGATTATTCTACTGTTGAAGAGTACTGGTCAAATATAGTAATGACAGAATCTAATACTGCCTACTCAACTACAGTTGAGAGTGAAAAACTTGAAACTCCTTGTGCACTTATAGATGGAAATGAAAACATGTCCTTTGCCAATAATACATCTGGGCAAGATTCAAAGGAATACAAAAATCAATCAGAAACACAAGATAGAGAAGATTTAATTGACGTAATTGCTGAAAAGCAAGAAGGATGCCTTGCTGACAAAAATCGTCTAGAAGGTAGGATATCTCTGAATTTGAATGACATAAATTTTATTGCTCTTTTTCCTTGCATTATCTGTAGTTAGGCCCATAGTTTCATGTTGGAAATTGGATAAACAGGGGAGTAAGTTATGAGAATGGAAGAAGCGTAACTATTCTTTTTGATACTTCAAAGGAGAACTTTGAAAAGGCCCTGCCTGTTTGGCTGCCTTCACCTTGTTGGCAGGTTGCAACTCTGCAACCTGGTCAGAAATTACAGTGACATCCTTACTCAGTGCTGAATTAAAATTTAAATCAGGCTATGTTTGCTACATTGGGCCTAATCTGCACTTTCAAAAATATCTGTCAGCTTTGGATGGCTGAGAAGTCAGTGAGCTTGGAGTGGCTTCAGTTGGAGATTTGAGGAGTTAAAATTTTTCTCTCAATTTCATTGGTTTTACAAAGTCCTTGAAGTAAACATTTGTTTATATTAGAAACTGGGTAACAGTGAATCCTGGAAACTAGAAGAATTTAGATGAACTGCAGAGGTTGCATTTTTTCTTCGCTAAAGATGAAGTTGCTGCCAATTTCACTACAGAAGAATAATTGGAAGGGATAAAATTTGATAATGGGAAGGTACTTACAAAGAAAGACAGTGTTCTAGGAAAACAATCCAGTCTGGATGGATTACATTACAGATTGCCAAGGAAAATAACCTGTCGAATCTCCTTAGATTAAGGGAATTATGTCAGGGAACTGTGAGACCTTTATAGGCCAATGATCCAGTGGTGGAAAACTTTTAAAGGCAAAATTGATTGTCATTTGGAAAGAAATGAATTAATAATTGAAAGCCAGCATAGCTTTATTAAAAGCAATGCATGTTTAACTGATTCTGTTGGGTTATTTAATAAAGTAACAGTAAACGTCATGGAGGATTACGCCATCAATGTATATAGATTTTTGAAGAAGTTCTACATGATAAACCTATTAACAATTCAAGCTTTTGATGAAAAGGGGGTGGGAGAATTGATTGCATGGATTTTAAACAATGGCAAATGGTGAAAGGGCATCAAGTATTGATGAACAGTTGTTTCTCATGTTGAAGGAAAGCATGGCGTTCGTTATTAGTTGGGGTTGGGACCAATGCTCTCTGGCTACCTAAACATAATACACCACATTTTCTGACACCTACAAACTTTTAAATAGCAAAATAACGAAAAAAATGGTAACATGCTTCAGGAAGCCAGAGATAGACACAAACTAGAGAAATGGGCCAATGCATGGCAGATAAAATTTAACACACAGTATTATGAAGTAATTCATTTTGATTGGAAGAATAAAAAGTGATGTAAACTGAAAGGTGCAGGAACAGAGGGAATGAGTGATCTGCTTCCACAGACTGGAGGCAAGATAAGTTAAGAAAGTATTTAAAAAGTCAGCCAGAATCTGTTTGTTTTATAAATAGCGCTGTAAAATGAAAAATGATGGAGTTATGTCAATCACTTTTGTAAATCACTAGCTGGGCCTCAGGGAGGTATTATCTAATTCTGAACATAACAGTTCAGCAGGGATGCCACAAAGCCAAGCATCTCAAATCAACTGCTCACCTACGAACATTAGTACTACTGATATCACCCAAAATAACGGCCACAATGTCCCATAGTCTACTCTTCATGAATGCAGAGACTGATCTGTATATCTTCCTTTTTTAACTTCTTTTTAGACTTACCACTCTTTTCTAATTAGTACGTGTGTTGTTATTTTGTGGACAGTTTAGTAACTAATAAATTAACACTTTTGTTAACTCAGAAACCTGGTTAACTGATTCCTTTTAAGACATATGTAGATTTGGTCTGGGAGAACATCATCTACTGGGAAGAAATCCTTTTTAAATTAACCTTGGTGCAACAAACTAAATCATTGGCTCCAAGAAAGGGAGCCAGTTCATCCCTGTTCATTTGGGAGCTTGATGATTTGGGAGTATCCCATCTGTAACCATAATAAATTGGAGAACCTCATCCTGAAACCAGTTATAACAAGATAAAAATCAATTGCCACATAGAAACTACCTCATTAAGTTAAAATTATCTCTCCAGGCCCCATTATATAACCAAAACTTCAAGCCTTTGAAAAATGTTTTAATTGTCTGGTTTCTGAACCTTGCTTAAATTTGGTAAGAAATATTTTGCTTTTAATGTCAAGTCAATTTGCTAAGAATCAGTCTAGTGACATCACAACCAGACTTGGTTAAGTTTGTGTCTTGTTTAAATTTCCTTTGAAACCTAGTTCCAGAAGAAATCTTATATTGGCCAAAAAGGAAGACCAAATCCATACACTAACGTCATTCTTGCTGTTATGATCCCAGATGATATGATTACTGGACAAGTCAATGGCAGACTAAAACTGGCTTTGATAAATATTTTGTTTTGTTCTGTTCTTTTATGAAATCGTCTCTTACTGAAACATAAGCATGCAATGCTGCAGATTTTGTTTTAACAATAAAACAGAAGTTTATTATCAATTCAAATGAAGTAAAAAAAAACCTATCTACTTGTAACACAAACTCAAAAATATTCAATGTCCAAACACTCCTTTATAAATTGAAAAGAAAGCAATAACTTTTATATTATTCCCAAAACACAGTCCTGGTACAATAGCCAGAAACACCATTGTTATACTCTTCATACCAGAATCCCTGTCCCTGTCAAGGTGTTAAGTCACTTGTGACTTAAAGTTATAGACCAGAATTATAGTTAGCTTCTTCCTGGAGTCATTTATACAACCAATCTTAAACATAGTTAGCTTTAAGTAACTACTTCAGGATTTTGTCCCAATTTTTTCGTCCAGGGCTATTACTAACTCTTTACCCTAAAGTAATTTAGTTTCACTATATCCTTCTCTGCTCAGGAACACTTCCTATATAGCCACCCTCATCCAAGGGCTTCACAGGACTTTCCAAAATAGAAAGTACAACTAAAAAGATCTGTAAACTATGGATATTTCCTTAAAGCTTAAAAACTCTCCTGACCTTCTAAACTAGATCTTGGTTATGTTGTTCAGTCATTAAAGTTCTATTAATGTACACAAAAACCCATTAATTCTAAAATCAAGCCTCAAAAACTGTTTTAAAAGAAATCTCCATGGCTGGAGAATTACTTACAAGTTAATTATTAACTTAACTGCAAAACCACGTTACTAACACAAAAAACTAAAACCCCAACTTACTGTATAACTGTATTATATATGTAATGTTTATATAAATTACACAATCTTTATCGACTTCCTGAGAAATTCCGAAAGTTCAACCAACTGCGCACGTTCAAATCCAAATTCTTATCGCCAGGAACGATCACTGAATACTGATTTTCTGGACTAATAATAATCGTAACTTTCTTTTGTTCCTTGTGTGCTGTGTATGTGAGACTTGTGTTGTGACACTTGTGACACTGTTTGAATGTGTGAATAAACCCAAATATTTGTTCCAATTCTGAAGAGTTTGCTGTAGATCATTTTTAAATTGGACTTCACAAACAGTGGGTAGTGGCAGGAGTGGCATTGGTGGTGGTGTGAAATGTAGACAATAATATGGAAAAATAAATTTTAAAAATTAAAAACACTTCTACTTGTGGACAGAAGAGGATGACAGCAAATAGGTTTCAAAATACCTCCCTCTCCCTGTCTATAACACAGGTCAGAATGGTTTGAAGGTAACTTGAAAGTGTGCCATTCCATGTGCTACTCCTGATTCTTCTAAGGGTAGAGATCGTGGGTTTAGGACAGCGCTGTTGCTGTGCTGTATCTTGTGTATGGTACACATGGAAACCATGGGCGCTAGTGGTGGAGAGGGTACCAGTTATCCGAATGCTAAATTGTGGATTGGATAGTGTTGTTGGAACTACACTTGTCCAGGCGAGTAAAGGGCCTTCCATCACATACCTGACTCAGGCTGTTTTAGATGGTGGAAAAGCTTTGGAGAGCAAAAAGAAGAACAATTAGTCGCTGCAGAATGTTCCAAGCTCTGATCTGTTGATCCAATTGTGTTTCTCATTAGTGGTGACTTCTGAGAATTTGATGATAGTTGTTTGTATTCTCACTTGTTGGAAATAGCTGCTGGCTATCTCTTGTGCAATACAAAGATTAGCAGTCACATATCAGTCCAAACCTGAAGATGTTTGGGTTTTGCTGCGTGCATGTATAAACAGCTGCAGTATTTGAGAAACAGTGAATGGAACTGAACATGTTGAAATCATCTAACATCAGCATTTCTGACTATATGATGGAGTGAAGGTGTTTTGAAGCAGTTTATGGTGCGTGGGCCCAGGACATTTCCCTGAAGGATTTGTGCAGTGGTGTCCTGAGCACATTTCTTCTGACTTCAGTTTTACTGGGGGCCTCTGTCTGTTTCTCACATTCTGTTAAATGCTATTAACGTTAGGGGGAGTCAGTCTCATCTCACATCTGGAATTCAACTTTGTTTGGAATTAAGCTGCAATGAAACCTCAAATCAAGTGGCTTTGGAGGAACCCAATCTGAGCATTGATAAGCAAGTTATTCATGAGTAGCAGTGTCAATGACCCCTACCTTTTGCAAGTCATTGGGAAAGACCATGACAATTGGACTAATTGGTAGCTCATTCAAAGAATTTCACAGGATAATAGGCTGAATGATCCCCTTCTGTGTTGTAGCATTATATGATTCTGTTCTTTTTAATAATAGTCCAGGGAAGCTGTGCTATTGAGAGACAAATATGCGGTCAACTCAATCAGTTTCATCAATTACCCTGCTAGAATTATTATGCACTGCAGAAGCTTATGTATTAAACATTTATGTTTGTAAGAAGAAATCTAATCACCCACTCACTGTGTAGTAAACTTCACAGTCAGGACAACGATAGCCATTCAGTGCCAATTAGTTTGAGGAACCTAGCAGAATGTTTTCTGGACTTCAGGAGGATGCGCTTTTAATAGTTACCTCTAAATCTTAACAAGGCTTATAACTAATGGCACTATAACTAAGCTTGAGAAATGTACCAGTTTTAGTTGGAACATGTACAACTTGAGATGGATGAAGAAAAAAAGATTGAAGCTCTACAACAATGAACTTTATGAGGTATACTTGTTGGTACATCTGCTGAGCCCTAGGATCTGTAGATCTGAAGAGACTGCTTGTCTCCAGGCAGCCTTGGGAATGAGACAATGCCTGTCTTTCTGTTTTGCTGTTTCTTTGCACTTGAGAAAAGACTGGTCCAGCTCCTGATATTTCCAGGTACCTTGTGACTTGATACTGTATTGAGAATATGAGATTTTTAATTGTTTTTTTGCTAGGTTATTGACTTCAAAAGTGACATTTGTTTGTATTCTGAACAAGATAAATCTCATATGTTCTTTGAACATCTGATGTCCTGAACGGCAAACTAAAATTTCTTTGAGTGCCCTGTACTATACATGTTTATTGTCAAATTTCTGTTAATATCGGGCACTTCATTAAATATTCTTGCAAATTGTCTTGATGAGTCCAAGCAATAAGCTTCAAACTGTCTTTTTTCAGCAATATTAATTAATTATTATATTTACATAATAGAAAATATTCTTATTGCAATTTTTCTTCTCGGCCTGTTGATTTTGCTTAACTGTAGCATCTAATTTTATCTGGTTTTATTGATTGGCACTATTATGATATTTTTGATACAATATATTGAAAACTGGTTTTACATCTGTCTTTGCAATTATTTCTAAAGAACAGCCTGTAAACAACTTCAATCAGTATGAATACATATATATGCTGTGAATTTCACTTCTAACATGAGTTCAGTGACATGGGCCTACACTATGGAAATGAGACCAATACTTCACATTTTTGGCAGAACTGTTCAGAATCTGCAAGGGAAACCTCATTAAGAAATTCAGTTATTCAAACTTCACACTTGTAATTTAAGCAAGTTATTTTCAAAGAAAGATGTTCAGAATTTGGAAATATGTTTTCACTAATTTCTAAATGATTGCTGTCATAAAACATTAGCTTATAAATGCGCAAAAAGCATATTTTTCTGCATTGCACCTGGAGAAAATGCAAGTTTTGAAGATCAGCAATCAACAGGGAAAGTGGGGCAAATTCCTAACGGTGTAGGAATGCATTATTTGAAAAGAAAAAACATTGACAAAAGAACTATTTGTTTATTGTAGAGAGTAATTATTGTCTTGTATATGAATTGCCTTATATATGAGGATATCTGGACTGTTTTGAAAATGAGAATGAGTAACTTGAAGAGATCTTTTGCCCAAATCATTGAGAGGCAGGAAGACTTTCTGAAATTTGTTTTTTGCTCAGTTAATCAACAAAAGTTGCTGTCAGACATAAATGAAGGGTGAGCATTTCGTCTCACTCTTAGATTTTATAATTTCTTTACAGACACTTCATGGTTGCTTTGTCTCAAAATATGCAGTGGAATGATTTTCCCATCATAAATTGTGGATTATTTGTATGTGATGCATTTTAATTACGTTTGTTACTCCTGTAGCACACATCCTAACACATTTCTCACTCTCAAAATATATTGATTACTGAATGCATAAATTAGCCAAAAGCGTTGACAAACATTCCCCTTCGACACACTTACACTTAATTTAAAGGCCTGTATATTAAAATACCAAGGATGATGTTTTTAAGGATGTATTGACTTGGATGAAGGGACCACTGTTTTGAAGCCCAGTTGGCTGATGGAACCAAGGAGGAAGAAGCAAATTGTGGAAAGGATATAAAGACTGTACAAAGGCACAGAGATAAGTGAGTGGATAAAAAATGGTAAATAAAGTATTATGTAAGAAAATGTGAGGTGTTCCATTTTGCTAGGATGATTCGGGAAGCATACTACTATTTAAATGGAAAAGAGGCTGCAGAATTCTGCAACACAGAGTGATCTGGGCATGAATCACAAAAAGGTAACATGTCGCTACTGCAAGTAAGTAGGAAGTGAAGTGGATTGTTGACCTTTATAGCGAGAGTTGGAGTATGAAGCTAAGGAAGTCTTGCTAGAACAGCACAGGGCATTGGTGAGATCACACCTGATATGCTGTACAGGATTCGTCATCTTAAGGAAGGATATCTGTACATTAATTGCAGCTCTGATTCCAGGGATGAGGAGTTTATCATTTTGAAGAATATTTAAACAGATTGAGCTTATACTCTTTGGAATTTAGAGGAAATGATCTTATTGAAACATGTAAGACTCTAATGGGGTTGACAAGGTAGATGCAGAGAGGATGTTTCCTCACATAGGGAAGTCTAGAACTAGGAGTAAAGTTTCAAAATAAGAAATCTTGCATCTAAAACTGAAGTGATGAGGAATTTCTTCACAGATTCCATTCGTCTTTGAAATTCTTTCCCCAGAAAGCAGGGTGAGGCAGAGTCTTTGAATATGTTGAGTTAAGTTCTTGATTGGTAAGGGAATCGTAGGTTACAGGGAACATGTGGGAAGGTGGAGTCAAGACCACAATCAGATAATCCGTGAACTAATTGCAGATGATCAGGCGTGATCTAGAATGGTGGAGCACACTCAATGCTGAATGGTATGATCCTCCTCCGGTTTTGACGATAAACTGTTTTAGTCCTATGGGGGAAATGTGAAGGGCATGATTTAAGTGACTACATCTACTTCAAAATAGAAATTGGTGACTTTTTAGTTTAACTAAATTATCTACTTTCCAGAGTTACTCTGCTGATAATAAGAATGGAGAATTTGCATTCTGTAGGAACTTTTTCACTTACCTGGGCATCCAAGGGAGGATCAACCTATTTAGGACTCAACTTTACCCTCCAGTAAAATGCAGGTGACAGTTGCATAGAGGGAAGTCACCAACTGAGTCACTCTAGCAATCCACCTTTCTTCTCTTGCTCTGTAACAAAAGATGGTAAGTTACTGGTACTCCTAGTAAGATGAAAAGGAGCGTACTTCTCACTTTTGTTTACGTTCCTTGTTCATTTACTCAAATATGTTCTCAAGTTTGGAACTGCATTTTCCATGAAAAGCCATTTAAAGTACTACATAATCTATTCCTTGTGTACATGTACTTTATGTTCCTAAGGTGAAAAATAGAGGTAACAGCTGAAAAACTAGGGTAATTCTGAGGATATTGCTTATAAAATCCTTTCACACAATGTTTTTTCTCATTCAAATAATTTGGCCATCATGGAATGCTATACAATGTGTACAATGTGATGTTTCCTGGATAAAAATTACTAATGCACATGATTATATTCCTGTGGTCAGTAACCACCTGCCTGCTAGTTGAGTGTAAACTTTTCTCATTCATGAAAGTCATGAGATAGGAGCATGAAGAGTTTTAATGTTTACATGTGGCACTTTGTATTTGTTGGAAGTCTATGCAGCAGAGGTAGTGACAGATCTCACCCAAGATGTGTAGATACAGGTCATTGGATAATGACTGATGTAGCAAAAATATCTGACTGTTCATTGCACTTGTTTTGCTGAACTCTCTCAGTCTTCCTTCTCTCACCCTAAATATGAATCATGTTCAGAACCTTGAAGGAATATACATTCTCATCTTTTGTAAGGTGAATGTGAAAGTCAGTAGCAGTGTAAGAATCTCTGTGACATCAATGTTTCTTAGCCAAACTGAAGTTAAATGGAAATTAAAGGGAAAACACCAGTGGCTGGAATCATGCCTATCATAAAGGAAGAGGATTGTGGTTGTTAGAGGCCAATCATCTCTATCCCAGGTCATTGTTCCAGAAGTTCCTCATGCTAGTGTTCTAGACCCAACCATTTTCAGCTGCTTAACCAAAGATCTGGCCTCCATCAAAAAGTCAGTGAGGATATTTGCTGGCAGTTGCACCAGGTTCATCACAATTTATGACTCCTCAAATACTGAAGTATTCCGTTTCTATCTATAGCAAGACCTGAACAATATTTAGGCTTGGTTGATAAGTGTCAAGTGACATTTATAGATACCAATGACAAAATGTAGTTGGGCCCAAAATAAAACCTCTTCTAAATTTGAAATGTTCCATGAAGTGTGAAGAGTATATTAATATTAAAGATTATCAAATGCTGACTCTAATTCAGACAGCTCCTAAAATGAATAACATAACCTTATTACAGCACAGTCAAATATATGATAATGAAGAGATTTCATCCAGACAACAGTTTTCTTTCTCTATGATTGCTAAGGTTGGTGCAATGCCTGAGCTCCTTCCTGTTTCATGATAAGGTCATGGCCCAACCAGCTCATGAGTGACTAGTTTAGTTGTTGGAAGAAAGAAAGGCACAGTGAGACGAGATGCTGTATTGTAGCACAAGGTTAAAGTTTGGGCTATTGTCAGTGGGAGCAGGTAAATGAAACCTGGTACTTTGAGCAAATAGCAAATTGATTCAGCAGTGAGCACATGTGGATCAAGGAATTGGAAGCTGGGAATTCTCTCCGCATTGTGATCTGCTTGCTGTAATTTTATTAGCAAGATCTTATGAATAGAAGATTGCTGAGTTTAGGCTAGTTACATAGAGTGGGCCATGTGTTTCCTCATGCATTTTACAGAAGGGTTTTGAAACTGGTTTTACATTGATTCATTGTTGACTTTGGACTGTCATCAGATACACTCAAAATCATGGAATACCAATATGTTTTGGAGAAACAGAATTTAATGTTCTACTTGCAGAAAATAAGCGAGACCTTGCACTCAGAAAGAAGTAAATGTTTTGGTTGTTTAATAATCAAAAAGATCAAAGCCCATACCAATGTTAACCTTTCTATACCCAAATCATTTCTGTTAACTGTGGCCCATGTGATCCTCGATTTGGGTGTAAATAGTTTCCTGAATAGCATGGAAGACTTGTTATTTTTTGAGGGCTTTGTGGCCTTTTTGATAGGCATGTGTTTTCCAAATGTGAGAAATATAAAATTTAATTATTTTTTAGGATTTGATTCAAAAACAAATGATAACGTGAACACAGACAAAAGAAGTTTTGATGAAGAAGCTTTCAACCTATCAGATGAACTTTCAACAACCTCAGAGATTGCGCAGTGCATTGAGAGCAGGCAAGAATTGGCGTCAGTCAAACATTGTGAGACCTCATCTTCCTTACCGCTCAAACCCAATCTACCAACACTGTCCCAAGAAATCAACTTTGATGTTCTCAATTCAGGGGTAGCATGTTTGACTGGTAGGTGATAAAAACATTAACGTTATGAAAGTTTCGCACATCACAGACCATTGAATACATACAGTGTCCTAGTAGCTGGTATGTGTGTGACATGTGCTTGAACAGAAACTACCATATGAGGGAAGGTTTCATATATTGGTATATTGGACTACTGCATTTCACCGTTTTGGTGCAAGAATTCTGTCTGCTCTAACTTAAGTGCTTAGTTCTGATCCTGTTAGTTATACTCTTTTATGCCATTTTCTTTTAAGGTTTTAGATTGGAATGTTTATTTTAAGAAGTTGCATTCTTATGTTGATTGACTTGAAAAATAATCAGAAGGGAGCAGTATAAAGAATACTAACAATTTTCTAATTTGCTTGCTTTGCTTTTCAACCATAGGTAACAAAAATAAGATAGATTTTGGTAAATTTAGGCAGCAGTGCAAAGAAATGAGTATTCTTGCTCCCCTTCCCACTCATGTAACCATAAGACCATAAGTTTTAGGAGCAGAATTAGGCCATTTGGTCAATTGGATCTGCTCGCCATTCAGTCATGGCTGATATGTTTTTCAGCCCTATTCTGCTGTCTTCTCCCTGTAATCCTTGAACCCCTTATCTATTAAGAACCTATCTATTTCTATCTTAAATACACTTGGCCTCCAAAGCCCTCTGTGGCAATGATTCCGCAGATTAACCACCCTTTGGCTCAAGAAATTCCTCCTCATCTCAGCTCTGAAGGTTTGTCCTTTCATTCTGAGGCTGTGCCCTTAGGGCCTGGTCTCTCCTATTCATGGAAACATCTTCTCCATGCCCATTATGTTCAAGCTGCTCCGTATTCTGTAAGTTTCACATCAGATTCCACTCCCCACCACCCCCCACCTCCCCCATCGTTCTAAACTCCATCAAGTACAGACCCAGAGTTCTTTGCCACTTCTCATATGATAGGCCCTTCATCCCCGGGAGCATACTAGTAAACCTCCTTGGACCTTCTCCAGAAGACCAACACATCCATCCTTAGATACAGGGCCCAAAACTGTGCACAATGTTCCAAATGCGGTCTGACCAGAGCCTTATACAGCCTCAGCTGTACACTTCTGTTCTTGTATTCTAGCCAAATTGACATGAATACAAATATTGCGTTCATATTCGTAACTGCTAACCGAACTTCCATGTCAAAGTTAAGAGAATCCTCAACTTTGCCATATCCTATTCTATCTTCCACTTCTTTGCCCACTCTCCTAGCCTGTCCAAGTTCTTCTGCAGCCCCCCCGCTTCCTCAGCACTACCTATCCCTCCACCTACTTTTCTGTCATCTGCAAGCCTAGCAACAATGCCCTCAATTCCTTTTTCCAGATCGTTCACATATAATGTGAATAGCTGTAGACCTAATACAGACTCCTGAAGAACTCCATTAGTCACTGGCTGCCATCCTGAAGAAGGCCCATTTATCTCTAACCCATTTATCTCTACTCTCTGTCTACTGCTGGTCCATCAATCCTCTATCCATGCCATTACCTTGCCCCAAAAACCATGGGTTCTAATCTTATTTGGCAGCTGCCTGTGTGGATCCTTGTCAAAGGCTTTCTGGAAATCCAAATAGATTACATTGATTGGCTGTCCTTTGTTTAACTTGCTTGTTACCTTCTCAGAGAATTTTAGCAGATTCGTCAAGCATGACCTCCCCTTGATAAAGCTGTGCTCCAGTGATTCCTAAAAGATTACCACCAATGTTTCCACTATCTCCTCAGCTATTTCCTTCAAAACTCTGGGGTGTAAACCATCTTGGGCATGTGATTTATCGACCTTCAGACCTTTCAGCTTCCCCAGCCCCTTCTCCTTAGTGATGGTCACTACAATCACCTCTGCCCTCTGAAACTCTTGATGTTCTGGTATGCAGCTGGTGTCTTCCACTGTGAAAACTGATGCAAAGTACTTATTCAATTCCTCCACCATTTCTTTGTTTTCCACTATACTTCTCAGCTTTATTTTCCAATGGTCCAATGTCCACTCTTGCCTTTTTCTTATCTTATAGATAGCCAAAAAAAACTCTTGCAATCTTCTTTTATATTACTAGCTAGCTTACTCTTGTATTTCGTCCTCCTCCCTCCCCCCAAATTCGCATTTTTAGTTATCCTTTGCTGGTTTTTAATGGCTTTCCAATTCTCTGGCTTCCCACTGATCTTCACCACATTGTATGTCTATAACACACTGATATGTGATCCTCACTCTCACGTTTAAAGTCCCATGCTCTTCCTCCTGATGCATTAATTTCTTTTACAAAAAACCCTTTCTACCATGAACATTAATTTTGTTCTCAGCAATCTCCAGATATCCATGTTGTCTCTGATAGTCCAAGCATCTGGAGATCCATGATAATCTAATATATTATCTAGACATTTTAATGCTCTATGTTTAACTCAAATATTGTGCACAGTTCTATTCGATGGAGCAATTCTTCTTGGTAAAATAAATCAAGATGTTTGACTGACCTTTGTATCGTGGTTTGGTAATTTGAAATAATTGTATAAAAATTTGTTTTGCTTCAGGAGCCAGAGATAAGTCTGGTCGTGCAGTTGTCATAATAACAACAAGAAACACAATCTGGCTAAACCCAAATTGCAACGTCCCTGAACTTGTGCGGCTCCTTATCTACTTTTATAGTATTCCCAGGTAATCCAACATTTTCTTTGCATTTCACTGCAGCAGTGATTGATTACCTACACAGCTATTTTTCTAGCACATATGTTATGCAATTAGCTGGACACTTAATGAACAGTACTACACTGGAAAGAACAGCAAAAAAAAATAGAGGAAAGGAAAGCTCACTTGTAGGCTCTACAAGAATATGGCAGAGGATGAGGGATTAAGCGGGCAGTCAGAATTCTCAGCTTCAAGGGCAAGAGAATAAGTGTTTATGATTTAGCACAATTCTAATTATGTAGCAACTAATGCATTGAATTTTGATTTCATTAAGCAGTAATATATTTTGGATGTGCATCTATATTAAAAGTGAGAGTAAATGAATGAATCTTAAATTATGTGTTATACTTATTTGATTAAATATTTTGAAAGATAATCTGATTCCAGGATAATGTTTGGGTGTATAAGATGCCACATTGTGTTGCAAAGTGTGTCACTGACAGGCAGTGTACAACTCACGAGTTCAGATTTGTCAGTTTTGGTCATGATTGTGCATTTGCATTTTTAATAGTATCTTTGAGTTCAGATCTAAATGATTAGATTGTGTTGAACTAAAAACCAGTAACTCGAAGAAAAGGGAAACTAACATAATTTTAATATGTCATTATCAAAAATTTGATGTTTGCTTATTGCAAGATCCTGCAAGTTAATTTTAATTGCATTACATGAACATTATGTAGGATTATATTGGATCAAATGTGTTAATTTTCATCTAAGTAAAATTTGCTATTTTGAAACTGTCATTCATAAATTAACAGAATAATATCATAAATAGAAATTGAGTTCTTATGTTTTAAGGTTTTCCAAATATCTGAGTACACGTTTATTTTCATTAACATTTGTATTTCATTATAAAATTCAGAAGAATGCAAGCTTTTTAACATTTGGATTCTGTACTATTTGTGAAAATTTTGTTATCCCGTGATGCATAACAATTGTTAATCAAAATGTCAGTCTGAAGCAAAAGTGCATACAGATGGCTACAACATAGATGCTAGCCATGTATCAAAATAGCAGTTATGTACCAAGATTATGATATAATGTTATGTAATTTACTATAGTTGTATTTTCTGCTCTTTAGACAAGATATCCAGAGTGCCGGACTAACTATTTTGGTGGATGCCCGGCGTTGCTCTCCTGTACCAGCATTGTTTAAGGCTTTCAATACTCTTCAGGTGATAAACTTCAATCTTTCTTTGGAAGTTGCAAATTGTTAATTCTTCAAAGTATATAATTATACTACAAGGCTGTTTTTCTTTTCCTGTGTTTAATTTATGATAATTTTGTTAGATAAATTCTAAAACTAATATTCAGTAGTCAACTGTCCTAAGCACTGTAATTTTAGGTAAATATTCACAGTGGAATTTAAAGCTTTGAGCAACTGTCTTAATCAGAATATAAGCTCCTCAGGAAGCATTTTCCACTTAACTATTTTGAGGTGCTTTATCAATAAACCTTTCCTTTCCTAATATCAGAAGTTTATGGATGGCACCACAAAAGCTCTGTTCACAACTCCTCTGGCGATGAAACAGCCAGTACAACTAGCAATCTTTGGGCTGAGAAGTGACAAGTAACTCCTGCAGTGAAATTGTGGGGCTGTGATGATTAGCCTCCGACAAGCACATTTGCCTTTATTCATGTCAGCCACTAAAGCCTTTCCATTTGACCTCCCTTGGTTTGAATTTAGCTCAATTTTTTTGGATGCTTTACTGAATTGAATGCTACTTTGATACCAATGGAAAGTCTCACCTCTTGTCTGGCATTCTATTGTGGAAAGGCCAGTGGCAGGCTGCAAGATTGGAAAACTTCAATATAGGGTTATTAGAAGTAATATAAAGAAAAAAGGTAAATTCTAAAAGAAAACTGGTGGGAAATATAAAAATGAATAGCAAAAACTTCTATAAGTATATAAAAGATAAGAAAGTTGCTGATGTTGGTCCTTTTGGAGGATGAGAATGGGGGTGATAATAGTGGGGAACACTGAAATGGCATAGATACTAAATGTTTGCCTCTGTTTTCATGGTGGAGGACACCGGTGCTATCCCAATAGGTAATGCAGAGATTATACAAAGGAGGAACTTAAATCAAATACCATCACGGAGGAAAAAAATACTGAGCAAACTGTTGGGATTGAAGGTAGACAGGTCCCTAGGGCCTGATTGCTGCCACTTTCTTTGAGATACTATGAATGTAGGCAAAGATATTAGATCCCATTGGTTCTAATATTCCAAAATTCCCTGGATGCTGAAAATGTTCCTGTGGATTGGAAAAATGCTAATTTAACACCCTTATTCAAAAAGGAAGGGAAGCATAAAGTAGGAAACTATAGATAAGTTAGTTTAACATCTGATGTTGGCAGCAGAGCCAGGGACTACTGGTGACAGTACACCCAGAGTGGCACTGTTGTGTTAGCAGCAGCAGCAGCAGCGTGTTATGCCCGGAACAGGGACTCTTTGCGTCATTGAGGTATCAGTGGAGCCAGGAACACCTGGTTGCAGTCACAGTAAGCCTGGACCGGGTACTTCTGGTTATCGGTGATGCAGTGGCAGCAGCAGAGCTGGGGTCTCCTGGTTGTGGGGAAAGTGTAGATTCAGCGGCATCAGCAAGGTGGGCCCCGCAGCAAAGTGATAGTGCCTAAAGTGTGGGACTCCTAAGTTGGTGGGTCTGGCGTAGGTGGCGGCGATGAGGATGTGGAGGTCTCTCAGTTACTGGAGCCTAGATGCCAGTGTGAACTGAGTTGGAAATACTGTTATTCTGGACTTTTTATTTCTTTACTTTTCTAAATTCTTTTCCTAAGAATTTGTTTTTAAGAATCTGTACCTAGGTACCTTTGTACCTAAAATAGCACTGTAATGTGGTGACTTGTAAACTTTTCACTGTATTCATTTGAGTACATGCAACAATAAAGCTAGTTCAGATTGTCAGAATCCATTATTAAGGAAGTAATAACAAGAAATTTGGAAAGTCAAAACACAGTTCATCAGTGTCAGCATGGTTTTATGAAGGTTAAATTGTGTTTGACTAATTTACTGGAGTTCTTCGAAGTTGTAACAAGCAACTGGGATAATGGGGATTCTGTAGATATAGTATATCTGGACTTCCAGAAGGTATTTGATAAGGTGCTGCACACAAGGTTATTATCCAAGATAAGATCACGTGGGGTTACAGGTAATAGATTAGATACAGGATTGACTAACCAACAGAAAGTAGAGGGTCGGGCTAAATGAGTCTTTTCCAGTTGTCAAGATGTAACTACTAGAGTGCCACAACTATTTACAATCTATACTAATGACCTGGAAGCAGGGATAGAAGGTACCAAAAATCAAATTTGCAGATAACACCAAAGTAGGTGGGGCAGTAAGTTGCAATGACGAAATAAAAAATGTACAAGTGGATATGAATAGGTTCGGTGAATGGACCAAAATTTGGAAGATGGAGTTTAATGTAGGTAAGTGTGAAGTTATCCATTTTGGATGGAAGAATTGAAAGGCAACTTATCATCTAAATATGGAGAAGCTTCAGAGTGCTCCAGCAGAGGGATCTCGGTGTCCTTATGCGTGAATAGCACAAAACTAGGATGCAGGTACAGCAGGTAATAAAGAGGGCAAATGGAATTTTGACATTTATTCAGAAAGGAATGGAGTATAAAAATAGGTGTTACTGCAACTGTACAAGGTATTAGTAAGACTTCATCTGGTGTATTGTGTACGGTTTTGGTCTCTTTACTTGAGGCATGATGTTGTTGCATCAGAGGCAGTTGAAAGGAGGCTCTCTAGATCGATTCCAGAAATGAGGGGCTTGCGTTATGAAGAGAAATTGAGCAGTTTTGGCCTGTACTCTCTGGAATTTAGAGGAATGGAAAGAGATCTAATTGAAGTGTATGAGATGTAAAGGAGATTGACAGTGTAGACCAGAGAGGGCCTTTCCCAGTATGGAGCAACCTACAATGAAAGGTCATAGTTTTAGAATAAGTGTTAGCAGATTCAAAACAGAGATGAGGAGAAATTATTTCTGTCTAAGCGTTGTGAATTGTAAAATTCGCTACTCCTCAGTGCCAGGGCACTATAAATTCAAAGAGAAGATAGACAGATTTTAATTAGTAGTGGGTTTATGAGGATTATGAAGAACAGGCAGTGAAGTGGAGTTGAGGCTGAGATGAGATCAATCATGATCATATTGAATGGCAGAACAGGCTTGAGGGGCTGAATTACCTACTCCTCCTACTCCTCGTGCTGTTCTTCAGCTACTGTCTTCATATTTGAAATTGAATGGCAATGGTAGAATTTGAGCTCAGCATTCCTAAACAGGTAGTTGATGGCATTATTGACATCTCATTCTGTATGGAAAATACTAAAAATACTAAATGCACTCAGCAATGGTACTGAAGACTTGTGCTGCAGCATTAGCTGTACCCCAATGCAAGCTGTTCCAGTAGAATTGTACCTGGGAATATGGAAAACTGCCCAGGACTGCCCTTTTACATGAAACATGAGAAATTCTACCCAGTAATTACCCATCCAATCAGTTTACATTCAATAAGATGATACATGTGGTTGTCAACAGTGCTATCAAGTAGCACTTGCTCAACAGTAGTCAGCTCACTGGCGCTCATGTTGTGATTTGAGGGTTACACAGTTCCAAATCTTGCTGCTGCCTTGGCTCAAAAAAGGAAAAAAGAGCAGAACATTAGAGATGAGGAAAGAATGACTGCTTTGATGTTAAGGCAGCAATTAACCAATTATGGCTTTGAAGATCCCTAGCAAAACCAGAGTCATTGGAAAGCAGAATGAAAACTCTGTGCAGGTTGGAGTCATATCTAGCACAAAGGAGGATGGTTATGATTATTGGAAGTCAACCATCTTTGTGTCAAGACATCAGTTCCCTGTGGTAGTTCCCTAGACCCAACCATCTTCGGTTACTTCATCAGAGACCTTCCTTGTCACCATGATATGAGAAATACAAATGAGCAGAGATCAGCAGACGATGTTCAACACCATCCCTAACTCATTAGATACTTACGCAGTCCATTTCATATGTATAAAGTCCTGGACAATACTCAGACCTGGACTGATAAATGGCAAGTAATATTCAATTGTCAGATAACAACTATCTTCAACCAGAGAGAATCCAACCATCTCCCCTTTACGTTGTAATTGCTGAATCCCTAACGCCATAGGGATTACTATGACCAGAAACTAAACCCAAACTGTGTCTGCAGGAGCAGGTCAAAAGATTGGAATTTTATGGCAGTAACTCACCTCTTCACTGTCTATGCCATGTGTACTATCTACAAGGCACAAGTCAAAAGTGTGATAGAATACTCTCCACTTGCCTGGATGACTGCAGCTCCAACAACACTCAAGAAACTTGCTCTATCCAGCCTAATGCAGCCCTCTCGATTAGCACCTCCATTACCCACCTTAAGCATTCATTCCTTCCACTACCTACACGGCAGTACTGTATGCTATCTCAAAGATGCACAGCAGCAACTCCCCCAAAATCAAGTCTGATGTAAAGTCTTAATACAAGAGTTAGTAGACAAATAAATTACCTTGAATCTGTTGAAGCAGATTTGAAAGGCAATTATTTGCGATTTTAAAGAAAAACGCTTAAATAATCTGGTCAAACATACATATGTGGCCATTTTCAGCAACAAATCAGTCCTTTTGTAAGTTGTGGCCCTGGTTACGAACATTTTCCTTTTCTTTTTCTGAGATGTATTAGTATTGCTTTTTTGAGTTCATAACTTTTTTTACTATTCCATTGCAAAGTAATTAACCAAAATTCTTCAATACTGAACTGTGGTTCTGGTTATGTTTAATCAAGTTTATTACAAATCTATTTTAAAAAAAACAGAATAAAAATGACAGAACACCTAACTTTAAATTTTTTAAGTGTTAGTTATGACATCTATTTTGATAACATGTTGAATTCTTGCATATTTAAAGGATTAAAGTTTGGTATAATGATAGACTTCAAGTATTTTTAAATTACCAGAAAATAGTACCTCACTAAGGACAAGGCTTTTGAATTTCCTTATAATTTATTTTTCAGTCACATCTATTGCCAATTTTCCGAATAGCATGCAACAAGGTTTATGTTAATTATCTGCAGCTGGGGTATATGCAAAGCGCTGGTGTTAAGTTCTTTTCGTCTGTACCATCTGTGTTGTTAC